CCTCTGCTCCCTGCTGTCCACGTAGCGAAGCACCGTGACATGTGCTTCGGGTACCTATATCAGTGACCTGCAAGAAGGCCATCATGCATGGCACATGGTGGTGAGGACATATGTGAGATGGAGACGGCTATGGATGGGAGACGTACATAATGAAAAAGAGAAGGAAATCCAAACACCACACCAAGAACGGACGAAGCATTGAATGAAAAAAAAAATAAAAAAAAATAAAAAAAAATAAAAAAAAATAAAAAAAAATAAAAGGACGTGAATCTGTCCGACGATAAGCACTTGGACATGGTGTCTTCAACCACCCTCCGCCTCCCCCCTCTGTGTCGTTGGGGGTGTAGACGTCGGTTGTCTCGCCAACGAACTGGACAGCATTGCAAAACACTGCAAGAGCGTGGTGTTCCCGTCTGCCATGGTCTTGTTGATGTCAGCCATGGCATCAATAAAACTTCCATACAACTTATCAGTTTGCCTTTCCATGGCATCCACGAGAGCGTGGGCGACGTCTACGAACGTGCCCCTCCCCCTTCCCCCCCACCCTCTACAGAACTCTCCGACGGCGAACGTCTGACGTTCCCTCTCCCCCCACCACGTCGAGCGAATTACGCTCCATCAGCACTATTGCTGTCTGCTTTCCGGCGGCCGCCTCTTGTGTCCTCCCCACCGCCCGTGTCAAAGCTTTCCTTGTCCCGGCTTGTCTGTGTTGGACAACCCTCCTTGTAGATGCGCACTCTGCATGAGACCAGCGCAGTGTCCATCTGCTTTTGCAAGCTTCAAGTTCCACTGCAGTGCTTCGTACAACTCGCGTTCAAACGTCAACGAAAGTCCTGCCGCCTTTCGCACATCCCGTGACGCATTCTTGTACGACGGCGCGCCAGACTTCCCTCCAAAATCACGAATCCTCTTTGCGCTATCTAGGAGCCCGTAGTACTTCCTCTCGCGTTCGTCCACGGTGCGCTCGCAATATCCTTTCTCGACAAGCTTCTTCACAATCCACTCGTACTTCTCCTTCCTGCTTCTGATCTGTTGCCTGCCTTTTTTCTTTTGCTGCATACAGTCTTCTTCGAAAAGCAGTTTCAGCAGTGGGACGCTCTCCCCGGAACCCCAATCCGCACCTCGGACTTCGGGCTTGTCCCCGCCACGCCCTCCCCCACCTACCCTTCTGCTCTTCTTCCTTGCTTCTCCACCCACCCCGTCATCCGTTTTGCCTTCATCGCTAATGTCGACTGTCACATGCCCCGTGCTTTGCGTACCAGCTATGCCGGCAGTCGGTGATGTCCACGTCTCGCCCATTCCAGAGTCCTGCTTGTCCATATTTTCACCCAGATCGGCGACCGATTCAGAAGGGTCATTTTTCGTTATTTCGGAATCGACAACATGAAGCCGCCAACCGTCATGACTGCGGAACGCTGCATCTAAAGGCATGGACTGCGCAGTGCCTCCAACTGGTGATGGAGGAGGCGGTCTTGAATAATAGATCATGGGGGTGGCTCCACCTACCCCCGCATGCATGTGCCCAGCAGGGCCAGCAACGTATGATGTATGTGTCGATGATGCAGGCCCCCCCGCAGGCACCTCTCCTTCCCTGTTGGGTCCCATGGCTGGCGGTGAGTGTTGCCACTGACCTCCACATGGCGTGCCCCACCCATGATACCCAACACTGCGCCCATACGATTCTCCACCTCGCGGCGGTCCAAGGCTATCACCTTCGGCGAGGAGGGCAGTCGTAGATCGAGGCTCTCTTCCCACAGTGTACATCGAAATGTGCAGATTCTTGAACGCTGGCAGGGGCGGCAGACCGTGTGGCATAACGGGAGTTGGCCGTATGTAAGACGACCCATCTCCAGCAGGTGACGAAGCTTGATAACCTGGGACGTATGTGGCAGGGGTCGATGGTGGGACATCCGCCATGCATGTTTCGACAGGCATTGGGGACGGGGATGGGGAGAGGGATGGCGAACGGGGTTGGAAAGTGTGATGACCACCGTCCATGCCTTCACTACAAAGCTTGTACACGTGGGACTTCAACGCACCTCCGCGACCCCAGCAATAACACGTGGCTGTGATAGAAGCGTGGATGAATCGGGGATCTTCGACGCCTGGATCACGTGACAAATGAGAAGTGCTTTGCGTTATGGCTGCGATGATAAATAGACCGATTGGACAATCACGCGACATGACCCATGTATACGGTGGGCTTCCCGGGCGGATAAACGTTCAGGTTGCTATTCCGCTGGCACTTGCTGGCCAATGAAGTGGGACATCCAGACCCCCAGGGGTAACTGGGGGGCCGGGGGGGGGAGTACACGGCCTTGGGACAGGATGTGGTGACTGGTTACCGTTGGGCCGCGCGGCGGAACACACCGTCGGGGTTACGGTACCATGCCGGCCGTCACACACTGTCCACCGAAGGCGGACATTCCAGGACTACCGTTTGGACCGAAAAAAAAAAAAAAAAAAAAAGAATTGTTGTCTTCTTTTTCGCTACGGAAGAGGGGGTCGGCCTCTCCCGAAAACCAAAAGAACTACCGCCCCTGCGATTACGGTCGTGCCTACACGTAGGAGACCGTTTCCACATCCCCGACATGCAGGGGCGGGATCCTACTTTCGTGGAAAGAAGTGGGATCCCAAATTTTGCCTAAAAGTGACGTCCCTGTAAGAAGTTGGATCAGACCCTAAGGGGTGGACCCCACTGGCCGGCGGCTGGAAACTGGTGTTGGCCACAAAAAACGGCCGACCGTGGTTGGAAAAAACTTGACGCATTTTGAAGGGACCCCACCGATGACCGATAGTTTCGGCACTGGAAAAGGCATGGCATACCCGAATAGGAAACCGCCGAAGGGTTTTTCCCGAAAAGGCAAGTCGGGGGGTTGCTGTAGACCATGGCCTGGTACCACACTGCTCTTGGGAATACCGTGCGACACCACGGGAAAATACGAATGTCCGCCACGGCCTCCGGGTGCACAGAACGGTCCACGACGAGGGTGCATGGTCCACGCCGTGAAGCCCGCGTCTGGAAACTGATTGACGTGCCCCCCCCCCGCTCAACTGGCCGCCTCCTTGGAAAGGGTCTGGAAACCAGTCGTAGAATTTCCAGACGCGGAACATGTAGAAACGCCCCATCACCATTTAGGCAACCTCTTTCCAAGTGCAGTGGGGTCTGGAATTCCTTTCCAGGCCAGCTTTCCACACCGGTTTCCAGACCCAGTGGGGTCTGGAAAACACCCCGGTGCCCAAACTTTTCCAGGCCGCCGGCCAGTGGGGTCCACACCTAAAGCAAACTGGGGTAATGCTCCCTGACAAACTCTGAAGCCTATAGCTCGGTAATGGCCGAGCACTTTCTCCCGTGTACCGGGTTGATTTGTGGGGTGTATTCCCGGGCCCCTGTTCTCGCCCTCTTTGGAATAATAAGCCTACTGTTTTTGAAAAAAAAAAAAGAAAAAAAGAAAAAGGAAAGATTTGAAGTGTTGGAACGATACACAAGAGAAGAAGGAAAAAAAA